GCCGCGTATGCTAGCGACGGATGCATCCCTCACCGGTTGGGGTGCGGTCATCATCTGACATGGCATTCAATTGCCTGGAGATGCTGGCCATGTTTCGAGTTCTTCCAGACCTAAGAGGTCACCATGTGTTGGTAACAACACAACGGTGGTCTCTTACATCAACCACCAGGGAGTTCTGCGTTCGCGCCCCTTGTACAAGCTGGCGCAACAGATACTTGTGTGGTCCCAGGGCAAAATCCTTTCGCTGGGAGCAGTTCACATTCCTGGGCATCTCAATATGGGAGCAGACATCCTGTCGAGGCAGAGGCTGAGGTCCGGGGAAAGGATGCTTCACCCCGAGGTGGTGAAGCAGATATGGAGAGTGTTTGGCCAGGCTCAGGTGGACTTGTTGCGACTCATATGTTATCACACTGTCCCCTCTGGTTCTCTCTGACTCATCCAGCTCCACTGGGGCTGGATGCCATGGTACAGACGTGGCCGACGCTTCGTCTGTACGCATTTCCTCCAAGTTTTCTGCTCCCGGGAGTTCTGGAGAGAGTGCGCCGGGACGGGGCCCGTCTATTGTTAGTATCCCCGTTCTGGCCGGGCCGAGTTGGGTCTCAGACCTGATTTCTCTACTCGACAGCGCTCTATGGGAGATTCCCATCAGGAGAAATCTCCTCTCATAGGCGGAGGGCACGCCCCCGCCCGGAGCTGTGGAAGCTGTGGCCTCTGAGGAGGCACAACTCATAACTTCCAGTCTCTCAACGGCTCCGCCGCACGTGCTTTTATAGTTTCCTGGTCATGACGTCACCCGCCCGTGACGTCCCGCTCAGCTATTGGACTGATTTCACATTTTATTCAGAGCGTGGTCACAGAAGGCGTTCCCCTAGCATTTTCCAACGCAGCGTCTCGTTCCCTCGAGGAACCAGGGTTACATACGTAACCTGAGACGTTTTTAATCAAGACATGAGCTTTGCCTGTCCAAGTCTCAACAACGATTTCTTTCCTATGGACTCTTAACGGCCGAAAAGCTTATTTTAACATTCTGGAAAGATAAACTGCCATCTCCTTTCCAGCTGTGGCTTGATAAAATCACAAATACACTACATTTGGAGCGTATACGGCTGTCTAAGGAATAAGAGAATAGTTTTCTAAAACTTGGGAACCCTTTATAAAGGTATTTACGGGATGAAGGCAGAGGAGACTAGGAAGAGAGGGATGTTGACTTAATTTGAGTTGGATCTAAGATCCATTCCACCCCAGGTGTTTTTTTTCAATAATAATATTCCTCCCTATGTGGTGCATATCAGGCAGACAGTGAGGGTGGGTGGAGAATTGTCTTATTGTGTTTTAGGACTTTCTGTATAATATGTAAAAAAATATGTGCATATGTCTGCATGTACAGTGTATACTTAGACTGTATGTGTAAGTATAGGATTGTTATGTTTATTGTGTATGCAGGTGTATGTATAAATAGTTAATAACTGCAGAAAGTATAACTTGGTTAGATTTTTGTTTGCATAAGGACAATTCAGAGGAACTTCTGATTTGAATTCTGTTAAACTTATCTGTATTCTATATACAGTGGTGAGAAAAAGTGTTGGCCCCCTTCCTGATTTCTTATTTTTTTGCATGTTTGTCACACTTTAATGTTTCAGATCATCAAACAAATTTAAATATTAGTAAAAGATAACACAAGTGAACACAGCATGCAGTTTTTAAATGAAGGTTTTTATTATTAAGGGAAAACAAAATCCAAAACTACATGGCCCTGTGTGAAAAAGTGTTTGCCCCCTAAACCTAATAACTGGTTGGGCCACCCTTAGCAGCAACAACTGCAATCAAGCATTTGTGATAACTTGCAATGAGTCTGTTACAGTGCTGTGGAGGAATTTTGGTCCACTCATCTATGCAGAATTGTTGTAATTCAGCCACATTGGAGGGTTTTCGAGCATGAACCGCCTTTTTAAGGTCATGCCACAGCATCTCAATAGGATTCAGGTCAGGACTTTGACTTGGCCACTCCAAAGTCTTCATTTTGTTTTTCTTCAGCCATTCAGAGGTGGACTTGCTGGTGTGTTTTGGATCATTGTCCTGCTGCAGAACCCAAGTTTGCTTCAGCTTGAGGTCACGAACAGATGGCTGGACATTCTCCTTCAGGATTTTTTGGTAAACAGCAGAATTCATGGTTCCATTTATCACAGCAAGTCTTCCAGGTCCTGAAGCAGCAAAACAGCCCCAGACCATCACACTACCACCACCATATTTTACTGTTGGTATGATGTTCTTTTTCTGAAATGCAGTGTTACTTTTACGCCAGACGTAATGGGACACACGCCTTCCAAAAAGTTCAACTTTTGTCTCGTCAGTCCACAGAGTATTTTCCCAAAAGTCTTGGGGATCATCAAGATGTTTTCTGGCAAAACTGAGACGAGCCTTTGTTCTTTTTGCTCAGCAGCGGTTTTCGTCTTGGAACTCTGCCATGCAGACCATTTTTGCCCCGTCTCTTTCTTATGGAGTCATGAACCTTAACTGAGGCAAGTGAGGCCTGCAGTTCTTTGGATGTTGTTGTGGGGTCTTTTGTGACCTCTTGGATGAGTCGTCGCTGTGCTCTTGGGGTAATTTTGGTCGGCCAGCCACTCCTGGGAAGGTTCTCCACTGTTCCATGTGTTTGCCATTTGTGAATAATGGCTCTCACTGTGGTTCGCTGGAGTCTCAAAGCTTTAGAAATGGCTTTATAACCTTTTCCAGACTGATAGATCTCAATTACTTTCTTTCTCATTTGTTTCTGAATTTCTTTGAATCTCGGCATGATGTCTAGCTTTTGAGGATCTTTTGGTCTACTTCACTTTGTCAGGCAGGTCCTATTTAAGAGATTCCTTGATTGCGAACAGGTGTGGCAGTAATCAGGCCTGGGTGTGGCTAGAGAAATTGAACTCCGGTGTGATAAACCACAGTTTTAACAGGGGGCAAACACTTCTTCACACAGGGCCATGTAGTTTTGGATTTTGTTTTCCCTTAATAATAAAAACCTTCATTTAAAAACTGCATGTTGTGTTTACTTATGTTATCTTTGACTAATATTTAAATTTGTTTGGTGATCTGAAACATTAAAGTGTGACAAACATGCAAAAAAATAAGAAATCAGGAAGGGGGCCAACACTTTTTCACACCACTGTATTTCCCCAATAAATAAATAAAAGTTACAAAAACAGTAGGTTATGTCTGTGAAGGTAAAAAGCTGGGAAAGAAATCACGTTTATATATGATCTGTGTGGCAGCAGCATAATATACAGTAAATAAATCAATAATTCCACTGCTCTCTTGTCTCCTCTGAGGCTGGGACTCTAAATAGTGTTCTGTGCTTGTCAGTGCAGCCAAAGACAGAACAGTTAGCATGCTTTGCTTGAAATTTCGCCATGGCATTAATACCGGTACACCGTTGTCGCTTTGCGAAAACAGAATGGCGGTGCCGTGGGTGGAAACCTACAGATTAAGGGGCGGTAATATTATAAGATTCCCTTTCTACATCACAAGGGGAGCGAAATCTGAGCGGCTTGTTTTTTTCACAAGCTTGCAGAGAAAGGCTTACCAAAAAATAATTACTGGGTTGTTATTTTTCGCGTCTTCTGGGTTGATAGATGCATTATAGCACTTAACACAGAAAAAGTCAGATTTCCATGATATGTCACCTTTAATACTCTGTGTTGTTACCTGGTTGATCAATGACTATGATCTATGTTTTCTGATAGTTGTTCATGTGTCCCTTGTTTGTCTTGAGCAGTTAAACTGCCTGCTATTCTTTAGAAAAATCCTCTATGTCCAGCACATTCTTTGTTTTTCTGGCATATTCTATAAATTTGACTTTCCCAACCCTTCCAACAGTGACTATGAGTTTGAGGTACATCTTTTCAAAATGAGGACAACTGAGGGACTCAAACACAACTATTACAATAGGTGAAAATATTCACAGATGCTCAAGAAGGAAACACAGTCCATTAAGAGCTGCGGAGTGCAAAGTTTTTGAATTTGATGTTTGGGGTAAATAGTACTTATTTTCTCTTCTGGGAACCTTGTAAATATAATCTGTAGCTTCTGAAGGGCAAAAAAAAATTCAATCAGCTCACTTTTTAATTCGTCCTTTTCACAGAAGCACCTTTCTGGAAAACAGTAGCAGGTCCCATGTCCAGCTCTGATTCCATACAGTTCCCTCTCGTAACCCCCGATTACAGGCTGACCTGACAAAAAGACACATTGTTATAGTTGCTCCACTTTCTAAAAGCAGAATCATGCTGGTCTAACTAAATGTTACTAAATGCCACAAGTCACCAAAAAACACAATAAAAAACTAAAATTTCTCTCACTGGAGCAATCCTGAGGACATATGGATATGTTTTTGCTCTCAATGGCATCACAGTAACCATCTGGACATGTGCGGAGGTCAGGGGAACAGGTAGAGTAATTTGGAGATATTCCTACAAAGGTAATACAATGACACAATTTGTCCTTTAGAATGATAGAAGCAGCTCCACAGTAATATGGTAAGTGCAGTGTATTGGATTCAAGGGCATTGTGGGTAACCTGTATCTCTGCTTTGTCTCCACTGGCATCTGCCTGTTGGGGCTGCCAGGCCTCGAGACGCCTCACACTCCCCTCGCTGTCTCTTTTCTGCACAAGCCAAAACCGGCTGCTCATCTAGCCTCATGAGATCTGCTATATGGCACAATCAGTTAGGAAAAACCTGGATCAAGAGCTGTAGCATTCAGCACTGTCATTCAGTCCTGTGAGCTAATGACCTTACCTTCACCCTCAAAAATAATGACGAGCTGCGTCTTGGCCTGAAACTTGTTCTGCTGCTCCTCTGCAATAACTATATATTGCAGCTCTTGGCACTGCGGTCTGCGTAACACCTCGGTGTCATTCACATAGAGCACACCGGTCTTCTCATTCGGGTTCTGTGTGAGGCCAACTGCCCTATAACATGACTGAGCATCAGCAGAGATGTTCCTGTCTGCGATCTCAAATTGATACGTGACATCAATGCCCTTAAACTTCAGACAGTTGTCCACACAGACACTTCCAATCTAAAAAAGACATAAAAGACACATTAGTGTCAATCCTCTGGAGTAATCTGTAAAGGAAATTGCAATTTCTTTTATCATACGAGAAATTTCAGATAAAAAACAGCAACATTGTTGCAAACTTGCAAACAGGGGCATAGAAATGTATTGATATTTGTGAATTGTGATGGTTTTAGTTTTTCTTATGGCTATTTAACCACCTATAGCTATTTCATACACCAGCAGGGCTCAAAAAATGTGTATTATGTATTGATTCTCATACATAGCCAAAAGAAAACAAGACGCTGCATGCTCAGTGTCGTAACGTTAGCTTTGAGGCCTGAAATGTTTCTTTTCATTACACAAAAAAGTATTCTTTTGCAAAGTCTGGTCATTTCTTCAGGAATCGCTTATCTGTTTCTTAAAGGAAAAGTTCACCCAAAAGTGAAAGTTAAAATGTCTTAATGATGGGTTTGTTTCTTATAAACACACAGACATTCATTGATGGACTGGAGTCACATGGATTATTGTGATGTGCTGTTTAAACTCTCATTCTGACGGCACCCATTCACTGCAGAGGATCCACTGGTAAACAAGTGTTACAATGCTAAATTTCTCTAAATTTGATGAAGAAACAAACTCATCTACTTCTCAGATGGATGTATATTATCAGCAAATGTTAAATTTAGATGAACTATTCCTTTATATTTACAATAGCACTTCACTACTCCTGCTTGCATAGGTTCAAAATGACTAAAAAACATAATTAATGCACCTGGGAGTATGTTGTTGCTTTCAGTGACACAGTGAAAAAGTAGGTGACATTGGAGAAGTGAATAGAAACCGGCAGGATAGTCACATTGAAATGTAACAGCACTGTTCCCTCTGGGCCTGGGAAAGTGGTGTCATTGAGCAGGTAGTCCAACTGAAATGAGCGCTGCTCTGTCACAGACAGATTCTGACTGAGTTTCAGCTCTGAGGGCAGAAAACAGAATAAAGGACAATTCAGTACGTAATGTAAAAAAGCTATTCAAGTCGTCTTGGACTAACAGGTCACATTTATTCAGCAGCAGCCATTTCAAAGTTTTTGGAACTTTTGATATTTAAACAAATTTTTAAAACAATAGGAATAATATGCTTTATATGTAGAGAAAAACTAACTGACTTTCAGTTTGTTCCAAACACGTGTCTTGTTGACGCATGACAGATAAAAACAAAAAAATTTCTACTGTACAGTCGGCTCAAAATATCAAACATGTTGGACATACCGTCAGTTTATTAATATTTGGTGAAATGCTATTTTTTTCTGTTATCGGTATCGGCCTGATAAGAAAATTTGGCCGATATCTTAAAACCGATAAATAATGCATTATTTCCTTCAGAGACACTTCAGATGCGCGCTGTTCGTTTGCAGCCTTTTGTGCAATTGTACATTGTAATATTGTGTTTATTTGATGTATATCTGATTTATCTCATATAGAATGCCTTTGGGTAATGATATTTTTTTGTACTCACTGTATTCATGAACTGTCCCGCGGACATTTCCAAAAATGGCTCTTTCTTCCCTAAATTTGTGTTCGATAGTAAAAGTGTTTTTGATCCAGGAGTCATTTGCCATTAAGGTGCCCTCTAATTTATTTTCAATTTGGTTTGTGGGATAAACGGGCGTTGTGTCCCTGTCGTATACAAACAGAGTTCCATAGACAGTACCCTACAAAAGAAAACAGACTACCATTATTCGATACTTTCACATTTCTTTATTACAGTATATGATCCTAAGAAGGCTATGAAGATGTGAGACGGTTGTGTTTAAATGCCTGATACCGACCTCACTGCGGTTAAACTCTATTTTGATGTCCTCAGTATCAGTCCCATTCACAAAAGGAGGATTATCGTCCTCATCATAGATGTCCACGTGCAGAGAACTGAAGAACTTCTCCAGCTTTTCTTCTGTCCGTATTATACACACTAAATCCAGATGGTACGATTCCATCTCCTCACGGTCCACGTACGCCGTGACCACCAGTTCTGAAGTGGAGCCGTCGACAGCAAATGGAGCTGGAGAGACTGAATTCAATACAAGTGACAAGAGAAAATTCATCTCACCGAACTGTAATATGTAGAAAGCCTTGACATTTACACTGGGTTTGGTTTGTACCTGCTTCCACTCCATAACTGATGGTGTAGTTGGGGCAAATGTTCATGCGTGTAAAGCGCCGGAGCTGCCGCAGGGCCCCTGGCATACGGTTCTCTGTGATATGGGGTTTTGAAACCTTGTCAGGGAAACACAATGTTTTCAGCTCGACCTGGCCACAGGAGGGCGCTGTGTCATTAATGAACATCAGTTTGACCTCCACTGTGGAAAGGAAGGGGCACAACTGTTTCTGCAAGGGCATTGGAGAGACTCCGACCTTCAGGTTTAGATCCTTCACAGACCTAACCGAGCTGCTGCCTGGAGGACAGACATCAGGAGACATGTGTCCTTTAACAAGAGTGTCATTCATCCCAATGTTCAACTCTCAAGGTTCTACAGAGACACTATTATGAAATATGGTCTGTAAATATACAGAATTGCATTACATTGCATTGAAAAATAAAATTAAGACTTAAGACATATATTTGTTACCTTATTGGCAAGTTGTTTTAAGCATAAACTAAATTTAGTGACTACACATAAAGATGAGAAACAAAAAAATATTTGCAAACTTAATAAATAAATACATATTCTTGGAAATAAAGAGTTGTCTTATCTTTTTGGATCTCAGGTAAATTTTTCTTAGTTAAAATAAATCCAATTAAGTATGTTTTAAGCATAGATATTTAGATATTTTTACAGGAAAAAAGACAAATAACCTTAATATATTTAATATATTAAATACTTATTTTTATATGACTTTAATATATAAGCACAGAACTTTCAGTGATACAGGAGACAGTATCACTTACATTAAAATAATGGACTATACTAGATTATGTGATATATCAGCAAAATAGTGAGTAACATTACAAGAGTTAAAAATTAAAAATTTAAACAGTTGAAACTGGCATATAGGTAAGCATTCAAACACATAAAGCTGTGTTAAACTCACGTATACTACTGAAGTCGCTCCACTCCAGGGTTTTGTTCATTGAAAGGACCCCAGTTGCCTCATCCATGTGAAACCATGATGCATAAGTGTCTCTATGGGAGCACAGGGTGAAATATGGCCTCTCTGTAGTGCTTTCCCGCATTGAATGGACCTGAAGGACTGGGGATCCCTGTGGCTGACCCACATAGATGCTTTCTGTGTACAGCCTTTGAGGAAAATACAGTCCAAGTGAACCTGTCCAAAACACACATGAAATGTCACACTGCGTGCATCGTGGACATTCATTCATTTATCCTCAATTCACAAATGAAAAAATCTAAAGGCAATTTAATCAAATACAACATTAAAGCAATATTTTGGGTTCAATACAAATTGAGGTTAATCAACAGCATTTGTGGCATAAAAATTCATGTTCCTCCATCTAAAAAAAGAATAAATAATAATATACTCAATTGCTTAAAAGCCTTTTCAGTGTAAATTTTAAAATCCAGTTTGTTGCCATTAAACTTTACATCTAAAATGGCCATAAAAACGACAACTTTACAGCTCAAATAATACATAAGTTTTAACAAAATAATTAATTAAAAATGGGTCCCTTTCACTTCTATTTCCTCATCAATATTTTTTTCTTTTTGTTTTAAAGATGACAGACAGGTCCAAATTATTGTTTTTGTGGTAATCAACATTATGCCTCAAAATTTTGTTGACTGAGCTTAACTTTATATTACTGCATATTTCTTTAATTTTGCATACCTCTTCTACTTCTTCAAAAAAAATAAAAAGAAAAAAGAGAGAAAAAATTCCTTCAAAATAATGTTTACAGGTATTTTGTGCAAGTGCATTTTGGTAAAGCAATACTGGATTCTTAATTCTCTCTAAATGACAAAAACAAATTTAACCTCTGGTGCTCATCATGATGCACTCAGTAGTTTGCAATTAAATCTTTCTTTATTGATCTGCTTCTTATCTCAAATCTGTTGTAAAACAGAAACGTCCACGCAAGTAGACAGGTTACACAATGAACTCATTAAACACATCCGCTTTTCTGTTGAAATAGCCCTCGCTCCTCTGTCATCGAAAAATGAAACAGCGTCTCTTATGACATTGACACTGGTCTTTTAATGAATTTCTCACATGGTCAATATGATGCGGTCTCCGATTCTCCTTGGTTTCACCTTGGGAAGTTTAATTACAGTGGATAACATAATACTGCCTAGAAATGAATCATTACCTGCAGGACGAGTGTGGATGGAGGTGAGGGGGGAAGGGTAATCTATAAAACACTGTAAGATCCCCATGTGTTCTACCAGTAAATGGAGATGCAAGTGTTCAGGCTGTAATTATATCTCTCCTGTGTTCCTGTCCGACGACGGTGGGCGGCCACTTAGGAACGTACTAATATTATTAGCAGACAGCAAAACTAGATTTTCTATTTCTGTTGCTGCAGTTGAAGCCTGGTCTCTGGTTTCAGACATTGATTTAATTTAGCTGTGCTGGGATGACAGGAGGCCGGATTGATGGATACAATGTGGCCAACCTTCCTGAAGGATGGAGACGCAGTCAGGAACACTACAACCCTTTTTATTAAATGCCTTGTCAAGAAACAAAGACAACACAGAACTGGTTTGTGTTCCTCTATTTATGGGGTCGCCAGTCACATTTGCAGACATAAAACATTCTTTGAAGACCTCATGTGTTCAAAATTAAACTTTTGCGGTTTGTAGTGGATTTCTAGCTTTGAAGCTATGATAAATTGCTTAACAGATACAGATACACACTTCTACATTTACATTTATCATGTAGGGAAATGGAACAAAAACTGTTGATGACTCATCTCACACACTCAAATTTTTATTCAATCAAACGCTTTATAGAACGGAAATGCCCCTCCCCCAAATATCACCTGAATAGCAAAAGCAATACAGTGCTGAGGGATGAAGTAGTTTTGTAGTCCAAAACCCAGCCATATTAGCACTCCCGGTTCCAGAGTTCTGCCAATGTGTTTTTTTTTTTTTGGTTAAATGGCTGAAATAGTGTGTGCGCTTACAACAAACTCATATTTTCATGTTTTATTCCATTACATAAAATACATTACTAATACAACCTTGTGATTTTTTAAAGCTTCAACATGTATTTAGTAGCTAAATGGGACTCATGGGACTCACTGGGAATCATTTGTTGGTCACAGAGCTTATTTTCTCCAAAAGAAACAAAAAGCAATGGCAATACAAAAACAATGAAAAAATCCAATGAGGGATCGTGTTTTGTCAAGGGATGCTAACTTCCAGTTAAAGGATATAGCCTAAAAAAAGGACAAGCTCTTTGATATGTCCCACCTTATTTTCCTGTTTCAGTAAATTTCTACCTAGGAAAGAAGTCAACAGGCCATTTAAACATTTTTTTTATATGATGCATCAAAAAATGCATTAAAAAATGACTATGATGTGATAAAACTGGAACAGGTGTGACATGACCAGGCCCTGAACCAAAAAATACTTGAAAATATTGCCTTAAAAGAAGCTGTCTAAGCCGTGTAAGGTGACATCCATGTTGTATTTCAGATGCGTCTTTCAGTGAAAGCCGATAGTACAAAGTAAGGCTTGTGTGCTTGGTCTCATAAAAAATAGCCGCAGGAGAGCTGAGGGATGGCAGCATTAATCTTAGCTGATGCAGATACTGTGTTGAACAAGCCACTGGATTTGCTGTGACACTCATTCATCATCCTGTGTCAGTGTATCAGGTGGAGTGCTTAGCAGCGCTATGCCACTCTAAGATTCAGAGCAGCACTGATAGCATTTACTTTCGTTTGTACTTAAATAAACACATGAAATTGGAGTAGTTGTGTGGTCCTCCTGGGATAAGGATTCCAAGACTAAGAACATTGTAATACAAGCAAAACCCCTTGCCTTGTTGTTCCACTGTAGAACTAATGGATTATGACTGACAGCTTTTTACATCTGAAAACTACAGAAATTATAGAAGCATATAGGCAAGGGTGATCACTTATCCAAATATTTCTATATACTGCACCACAGTGTATGTGTGGAATATCTTTTAAACGTGTGCTATATGCAACAATGCACACTGGAACACCGTATCCCACAATGCAATGCTTTCAACTTGACCCAGCATTTTCTGTGTGATGAATAAACCATAAATAATTACAGCCATGATTTTTGAAATTATTTAATCAGACACCCAAGAGTTGACATTGTTATACATTTTCCAATGAAGTGGATTAAAAATGCAATAAAACTCTGGGCCATATAAATTATCAGTCAGCATTTAAGATTTAATTTATTATTATTTGTTGCTATAAAAGTAGCCTACATATTGGCTCATATTGGATATGTAATTGTGCATGCTACAGTAATTTCCTGTATTTTTACATTTAGATTACCTTTGCTGTCATCTAACACTCAAAGTCCATTTTCAAAAACACTAATAATTTAATGACACTGTGATAAACCCTAACAATGTGATAAAGGCAAGTGGCAACAATGTAGCCAACCACTTTATAATGTGAAAAATAGATTATGTTCCACATACTACTTTTCAGGAAGAGTAAGTATCCAGTGGTCAGTTTACATTTGGCATTAACTACCTTCATCTGGATGTCATTCAGACATGCATTGAAAATGCAAGCGTAAATGCAATTGCAAATGGAATGTTTTGATATCTGTTTGTTTGGTGACACTTTATTTCGATAGTCCACTTTAGACATTCTATTAACAGTAAGTAACTTTGCAACTACATGTCTACTAACTCTCAGAGTAGACTGTTAGGGTAGGTTTAGGGTTAGTAGAATAAGTTGACAAAGAAAGTGTTAGAAGATATTAAGCAGACAGTCTACTAATACTCTACTAACTGCTAGTTGACATGTAGTTATAAAGTTACTTATAGTTAGTACAATGTCTAAAGTGGACTATCGAAATGAAGTGTAACCATTTGTTCTGGTCCTAAGGTTGTTGAGGACGCATTGTGATTGGATATCAATATAATCTAAATCATCAGTGTAATCTAGTCATCATCCATGTGTTAAGTCATGATATGTCAAATACTGTTTCCGGGTCCAAGCCTGCACTGCGTTTCAAGTCAGAATACAATCTCTACAGCTGTTTTTCAGGATTCATTTATGGCACACTTTTTAGGCAAACTTAACAAACTCTTAAAGATGGTCTCCACCTCACACCATCCCAGACAACAATATTTTCATGATTCAAAAAAGATGAATAGCTCTATGGGCAACAGAGATTTCACTATGGACTATGGAGATACAATTGTTAAAGAACGTGAAAGCGCACAACAGAGAATATACAGGAGACAGTTTTAATAATAAACACTCTAGGAAACATTACCACACACTATTTCAAATAAGGATGAACAGAGGAAGAGGGAGGACTCAGGGTTTGCCCTGTCCTTAAGAATGCGATTATTTTTTTAAACCGCAGCTTTTTCTACGCGGTTTGGCCATTCGTCCACACGCAAACGCAGTACCCGTTCACTGAAACCGAACATTTTTTAAAACGCCTGCCAGGGTGAAGATTTTCAAAAGAGTTTTTGGCTTGTGACATCGGAGCCTGCACTGTTATCTCCGCCTACTGGAAACTTTTTCAGGCTTCTGATTGGCCAACATGGCTTTACGGTTAAAATTATATTGCCACCTGTTGGTTTGGCATGCTCTTGACAGTGCTTCATAGCATGCGTTTGCGTTTTCATGTGGATTTTTTTAAAAACGGAAGAAGGAAAAACTCGTGTACATGTGGACATGGCCTAATACACAGGACAAATAAAGGGTATTAACAGTGGTGGACAGTAACGGAGTAGCTTTACTTCGTTACTGTACTTAAGTAAATTTTTCAAGTATCTGTACTTTACTAGAGTCGTTTTATTTTGAGTAACTTTTACTTTTACTTCACTACATTCCAAAGCATGATCGTACTTTTTACTTCACTACATTTCATAAAACATATCGTTACTCCTTATAATATATCACGTGATCCGAGACGCAGACGCGGTGTCTGATTCAAGAACGAACTGATTCTTTTCAATTAACCTTTTAAATCGGTTGGCAAATCGCACCAAACGATTAATTGACGAATTAGAACGAACCGATTGCGGTTGTTCTCGAGTCGACAACTCACTGATTCAAATGAACCGTTTAGTGCGAGTCTCCAGTGCACTGAATTCACAAGTAAGAACCAGGAGATCTTGTGAGCACGCGCGCGTCTGAT